TGTACCAATGACCCCTTCGGTCAGTTAAGAGGTAGATCCTCTCCTTTGAAACGAAGCCCTAAAATAGTTAAGAGCTCCGACTCGGGGAGAAGCCGAGATCCCCTTCGACCCGAACTCACATCAAAAGGGAGTCATGCACACTTCTCGGCCTGGCGAGAGGCCGAGACCCCCTTTGGCCTACACTCACGCTGAAAAGGATTTCTCGCGTAGTCCTTGGCCTGGGGAGAAGCCGAGAGCCCTTTCGGCCTAAACCCTCACCGAAAAGGATTCCTAGCACAACTTCCGGCCCGGGGAAAAGCCGAGACCCCCTTCGGTCATAAGCTTGACCGAAGAAGGTGTTGTATAGGATAGTTAACAGCAAAGTTTACTAAGTAACTAGCATTATGATTAATTAATGAATAATAATTCCCAATTACCCATACTCCAAGGCATAAGGCCCACCAGGCCCAAACACGTCTTTATAAATATAGTATTCACAGGATTGATGAGACAGGTATGATTATCTAGTATAAAAGTTTTTATTGTTCTGTACTGAATACTTACTTGAGCGTCGGAGTGCTTTTGCAGGTACCCTCCCCACCCTTTAAGGACACTATCTGGTCGGCACCAAAAACTTAAAAAATCACGAAGCAGGAATAGCAAGGGAAGTGTTTCTAAGCAGGAAGAGAAGTGAAAAATGTTGGATTTACGAGGAATTGAAAAAAAAAAAAATAGTGCTGCTTGGTAAAAGAGAAGAGAGGATTTAAGTGAAATTATAATGGGTTCCTGTAAGTAATATTTACCTTAAAAAATGATTTTTTTTACATGAACAGAAAAATATCAATCAATTACGTATAATTCTGTTCGATTAAAACACTTAACATATTTGATTATGAGTATACATAAATAATTATTTTATTTTATTTTAAATCAATAATTAAAATAATATTAATTATTAAAATAAATATAAGTTAAAACTATATAATTTTCTTTTAATATAATATATTATTTTAAAATATTAATTTCTCATTTATAAAAAAAAATTTAGTAAAAAATTTGGAAATTTTGATCCTGTGATAGGGTGTATAATAAGCTATTAAATAAGATGCATCTTATAGTAAAAATTCATGGTGTACCATGCACCACTTATAAAAGTGCTCTATCAGAAACATCACCGTAAAAATAAACTATTTACCACATTAGTCCACTGTTTCCAACCGTATGAACTTCTATTTTTATTATAAATTAATCCTTTTTTTTGTGCCAAGTGTGCAACCCTTCTTCGAAAAATCAATTTGACTGCGATTCAAGCATATGTATTAACCTTTACTCAGAGTCTCTCAACTTACCATTGCCACCTTATTTATTAATAAATGTATTAAAAAATAGAGAAAAAAGGAAATAAAAAGGAATAATTTCTCTTTTTCCCATAAAGGTGCATGCTTTTATAAATATAGCTAGATAATTATAATAATAATAATAATTATTATTATTATTATTTAAAGGGCCCAAATTTTAACTCTCATAGCAGAGGTGAATTTGAGGAAAGAGGAGTTGTACCAATGACCCCTGCGGTCAGTTAATAGGTAGATCCTCTCCTTTGAAACGAAGCCCTAAAATAGTTAAGAGCCCCGACTCGGGGAGAAGCCGAGATCCCCTTCGACCCGAACTCACATCAAAAGGGAGTCATGCACACTTCTCGGCCTGGCGAGAGGCCGAGACCCCCTTTGGCCTACACTCACGCTGAAAAGGATTTCTCGCGTAGTCCTTGGCCTGGGGAGAAGCCGAGAGCCCTTTCGGCCTAAACCCTCACCGAAAAGGATTCCTAGCACAACTTCCGGCCCGGGGAAAAGCCGAGACCCCCTTCGGTCATAAGCTTGACCGAAGAAGGTGGTAGATCCTCTCCTTTGAAACGAAGCCCTAAAATAGTTAAGAGCTCCGACTCGGGGAGAAGCCGAGATCCCCTTCGACCCGAACTCACATCAAAAGGGAGTCATGCACATCTATTGTTATTTTTGTAAGGTAAGTCTCTTTTGTATTAATGTAGTTGAAGTTTTAAATCTTGTGAGGTAAAAGGGATGGTGCCTCGACAATAGGTATCATAAATAAAGATAAAAGAGATAGAAAATATCGAGAAACCTAATTTATGGCTGTATTAGTAAAATAAATCGACATTAACATAAAGTAAAATTAATACTTATGTAAAGTCAACACAAAGTAGACAACGTTAAAAAAAATAATAGTATAAACTAAAAAAATTAAAAAATTGTAAGCATAAAACTAAAAAAAAAACCTATCTTAAACTATAATGACTAAAAATTATTGTAAAAATAAATATAAATTTTTTAAAAATATCTATTATAAATTATAAGGATTAAAAGATATAGTAAGTGAAACTATTAGACAATAAAGTATTTTAACCATTAAGAAAAAAGTAATTAATTTAGTTAAGGATTAAATAAGTTTTTTATTTGTTGGATACTCGGGATTCACAATCACATATGTTCACATATTGGTATGATATTTGTTCACTTTGGGCCATTAAGCAAAATAATTATTTTAGTTAACAATTAAATAAGGTTTTATTTGTTGGGTACTTGAAATTCATACATACATATGTCTCCACATTGGTAAGATATTTGTTGACTTTGGGTCTAAATCCTCATAATTTTTTTATCTCCCAAAAGGTCTCATACCAATAAAGACTATGTGTACTTTATAAATGTTTTTTTTATCCTTATGATCTGATGATGTAGGATTTTGTTTGTATGCCCCAACAAACCTCTTTTCAAACAAATGACCATGATTTAACCCTCTTTTAGCAGAAACCTTTTTTTCATTTACAAGTATTCAATGGTGACCCTTAAAACTTTAGTCACACCTACTAGCTCTATACACTTACACTGCCATTAGCTCACATCAACAAAACACGCGCGCCTGGCCTTTATATCGCTAGAAAAACTTTCAACACAAGAGATCTCACACTTAGATCCACCGTCTCTCATTGCCAAATACTTTTTCATGATTATGAGTCGATCACCTGGTTGAAATCATCAACTCCAATACCATTATTGGGTACTTGATGTTGACATACACATGTTTTTATATTGGTATGATATTATTCACTTTTGGTTTAAACCTCATGATTTTGCGTTTGGTTATCTCCAAAAAGGTCTCATACCAATGAAAATTATGTATGTTTTTTATAAACCTTTATTTCTCCTAATAATATAAGACTTTGTCTGTACCTTAACATTATTTCATTCATTTTTTAAGAATTTATTTTGTAGTCCATCTTAATTTTTTTTTTGTCAACTTTTGGTCCTTCATTGTTTTCATGTCATATAAATTAGTTTTTAAGATTAAGTCTTATTTGTTAAGTGATGATGTGTATTAATAAATTATGATCGATTTGACTATTAATGTCCATGTGATCGTTTAATTAATATCAAATTATATGACACATGTAATTTACTATTAGTTCATGGTTATAAGAGTGAATATCCGTTTCAATAACATTTTTTTTTCAAAAAATAATGTTTGGCTTGGCCATGAGCGAACAGATACATGTCATATGATTTGATATCTAATAAATAATAATATTCTTAAAATCAAATCGATCATAACACTAGTTTAAAGTTTAATAGTTTAACTATGGTTAAATCGTGATCAAACCAATATTGATAAAATAATAATAATTATTATCAATACAAAATTATGTTAAATAAACATAATTTATAATTTTATAACACTAAAAATTTAAAATAAAAACATTATTTATAAATTTTAAAAAACTTAAAGCATACATAAAATTTTAAAAACATAAATAATATAATATTCAATTTTAATTTTTAATAAAATATAAAAATATTTATTAATAATAGCAAGTTTATATGATGGATAAAAAAATCAAATTAATATAATATAAACTAAAAAATAAAGATATTAAAAATTATAAATTAAAATAAATAATTAAATTATATTTATGAAACAAGTATTAAATATAAGTTGTTATAATTTATAATTTTTTTATCAAATATTATTTTAATAAAAATATTTAAAATTAAATTAAAATAAATATTTTTTAATTGGATGGATACTTACCACCAATTCTAATGGTTTTCTACTTTTTTGATGCAAAACTATTCTCTAGACCAATCAAATTGGTTAAGGACCAATTCTCGATCCAACTGGCTGGGTTCGATCCAGTTTTCAATACACTATTAAATAGTTACGTGAACATCAATAATTGAGTTAATTATAATTTATTAACATATATTATTACTCGATAAAGTAGACTTAACCATAAAACAATAATTAATTTTAAAGTTAGTAAAAAAATTTAAAAGAACTAAAAATCAAATTCTTAAAAAGTTAAGTGGCTAAAAACTTATTTAATTTTTAATTAATAATAATAAAGTTGACATATATATATATATATATATTTTTTTTTTTCCTTCTAAAACTATCTTTATACTATTTTTCTTTTCTAATTTTTTTTGGTTCGTATTTTTTCCCCCTAATTTATACATATATATCTTTTAATCAATTTGAGTTCATATTCTATACTATTTTTCTCTCTTAAATAATACTCATTTTTCTCCTAATTAATTAGAGTATGCTCTTTAAAAAGTATATAATTAATGTATTTTATCAAATTAAAAAAATACACTTTAATTAATGATACTCTAATCTAATAATAATTAATATATAAGACAACATAAATTGAGTCTTATATAAAAGAACACACAATAAGTTTAAGTTGTTACATTAAGAATTAAAATACTATTTTTTAACATTTTTCAGATATTAAAATTGCAGGAAGAGGGAAAAAAATTAAATACAAACAAAAATTTATTAAATAAAATGTAAAATTTATATTTTTTTTTAATAAAATTTGGTCAATAAAAATGAAAAAGTATGACTATCTTTAATATATATTTAGGGGAAAGAAAAAAGAGCCGAGTATATATATATATATATATATGTCTAAGAAGAGTAATGCAAATGCAACATTTATACTTCGGATGTGGGTGGCAATAATGACAAGAGATTGTTTTGTTTGTCTAGAAGTTGCAGTCAATAAAGAATAGTTTTAGTATTATGGCCCTGTTGCCGCTGTAACTGTAACTCCCAACAGGTTACAGGCCCATCAAAAAAATAAAATAGAAAAAAAAAATGAACTCAGGCACAGGCACAGACTCAGGCTCAGGCAGAGCCGAAGCGGAACGGTTGATTGCAATCGGCGAGAAGCTTCTGCAGAGCCGCGATCTGAACGGCTCACGCGACTTCGCCATTCTGGCGCAGGAAGCCGAGCCGCTCCTCGAAGCCTCCGACCAGATCCTGGCCATCGCCGACGTCCTCCTCGCCGCGGAGACCCCGGTCGGCGGCGACCACCTGGATTGGTACGGCATCCTCCAGCTGGATCGCACGTGCGAAGACCAAGATCTCATCCGCAAGAACTACCGAAGGCTCGGCCTCCTCCTCCACCCGGACAAGAACCCTTTCACCCTCGCCGACCACGCCTTCAAGCTCGTCTCCGACGCCTGGGCCGTTTTATCCGACCCGGCCCAGAAGCCCGCCTACGACCGGGCCATCGCCGTCCCGGCCCAGCCCGCCACATTCTGGACCGCCTGCCCCTACTGCTATTTCCTCTACGAGTATCCCGCCGCGTGCCAGGGCTGCTGCCTCAGGTGCCAGAATTGTGAGAGGTCGTTTCATGGCCTTTCCATTCCCTCTCTCCCGCCGCTCGTGCCGGGCCAGGAGGCCTATTATTGTAACTGGGGCTGCTTGCCCATGGGCTTTGTTTTTGGTAAATTGGACCCCAATGGGCCTGGCCCTATGGTTGAGAATGGTCCCGATGTTGTTGGACCCGTCGCGGTGGAGAATGGGGTTGGGGTTGCTTCCAGGAAGCCTGGAAGGCCGCGACAGGTGCTTTGAGTTTTGCTTACGGTGGAGGAGGTAGGGTTTTTTTTAGTTAATTATTTCTTTCTTTCTTGTACATGTGCTCTCATGCTTCATGTTATAAATGTAGATTAGTGTTGCTCAATAATATCGCTCCTTTCTTTTCATTAATGCCAATGGAGAATAATGTTTATGGATTTCGGAAACTCTCTTCTATTCTTTGCATGCATATACTCCAATTCAAAGATTCTTTTGTCATCGTCCCCACGATTCTTTTATCAATTGATGTGGGGATTTTTTGTTTTGTTGTGATTTATGCTCTTTGGGAAAATTAACTTTATCGATCTGAGATTCATTTTACTGATTTTAGGTACTGGGAAGTGGGAAGCAATTTTTTCTAATAATTTTCCCGCATGTGAAGTTTGTGCTTGTTTTTATCGATGTTGAATTAGTTTGGGTTTGTTGAACTTCATGTGAATCTCAATTTTCAAGGCACTGACTCTAAGCCAAGCTAAAGACCATTGTGAATTATCTTTACAAATTAGTATTCCATTCAAATATAAATTAAAAGTTAAACAACCTTGTTGGATGAAAAGTGTATTGACTAAAAAAAATCACAATTTAGATTATGATGAGAACATCATTTTAAAAGATAAAGTATATTGTAAACGTTGATAAGAAAATCTGTGACATACGTCCATTTTGTTATGGAGATATCTCCTCCTCATCAGGTTATGGTTGATAGCTTAGGTTAACTGATCAGGTTCAGGAGTTGATCTGGCAAATGGACAATTTTTTTAGTTATGGATAGGCAAATCAAGTTCAGCTGAAGGATATGTAGTTGGGTCAGTTAAGAGAGAGTAACAGGGGTAGAGGTGATATTGCGTCAACAATATTCCTAGTATGCTTCAAATTCTCCTAGCTCAGAAATTGTGAACCAATTTTAAGTTAGCACGAGTGGATTAATTGAGTAGTCGGGTTTCAAATCTGATATTTGGAAATGCAGAAAATTTAAGTTGAAAAGAAATGTTTTTCTATTTAGTGCCCACAAAAACCTCTTTGAAGAAAATTAGTCCTCTTGTTCACGCAGATACTCTTTTGTTAATGGAAAAAAGTGCTTAGAATTCATGAACAAGTGAGCAAGGGATTTAAATTTACGTCTTGCCCAGTACAATCATCCTTACAAACTGCATGCCACCATAGCACAGCTCTATTTCACACATTGTTGAATGTTCACTAGTGTTGGTGACATAATGGTGAATTTTCTGTCTGTTTTTTTGTTGCCCTATGGCATATTGCAACCGAACAATATTTAGATATTGAGCGAGGGACTGAATTAAGTGAGTCAAATTGTAAGAGCGAGTGTTGAATTAATCGAGAAAGAGAGGAGTGTTATTTATCCAAGATAGAAGTGGAGTAATATTTATTTACCCCTAAATATGATAAAATTTAACCCCGATTTTATTATTAGTTTTATTTACATTTGAACGCCAAAATTACTCGTTCCCTAACTATCTATTCCCCTAAAATATCATCCTTTTATTGTTGGCTGTTAATGACTGAATGCAGATACTCTGCAAAGAGTTTGTGGGCTGGATTAGACTCATCTTCGATTTCCTTTGGTTTAACTTTAATTTATGTGCGATGTTACTGGACCTATGTGATTAAAGACATCATGAAATTCTTCTGAAGTAAAATAAGTGGCTAAGTCCATGAGAACTAAATGTATATTCATTAACAAAAATTGGGTGCAATGTACACAGAGCTGTCAATATTCGTTCAACTCCATGGGTCTCCCCATGTACAAGTACTTACAAATACCGGTGAATAAGTGAATTATAACTTAAAAATCCAGAAAATCCAGTAATTAAATATTAAAAAAATACACATTGAATATTAATTAACTAGGGGAAAATGTGTTTTTTGGACTTTTTTCGGTCAAATTTGGCTTGATCCACGTATTTTCAAATCAATTAATTTAATTTTCTATTTTTAAAATATGTGAATTAGTTCCTATTCACTAACTTCATCAGTGACGATACCGACAATTATACGTTATGTTTGTAGTTCTTTAAATAATATTTGTTGTTAATTCACGGTACAATTTCTCCATAAATAAAAGCCTATAGTAGAAATGAAACCAACGAGCATCGGTAGATTCTCACAATTAAAGAGAGAGAGAGAGTGTGTGTGTGAGAACCAATAGACTTTGTATGATTGAAAATAATGAGTTAAATTTTGAAAATCATGCGGTGTCTTCTAACTCATATAAGGTTTTGTATGCTAAAATGTTAATATTATTACAATTATTTTACGTTTCCATTTAGTGTATATTTTAAGTTTACAAAAGAAGGAAATTCTGTTGACATTTTCCAACATTTTTTTTTATTCTGAAAAACAATTTCATAACAATACTCCTAAAAATGCTATCTAGTTAATTTCTTAATTGGAACCTTTACCACGTAAAACCCGAACTTATATCCTAAATGAAAGGACTAATGTTTGTTTGGATTGCCATTTCAGTGGCACCAAACATCTATATGTGCAGTTCAAAACATAAAAAAGAAAAGCAACATCCCCATGGAATAAAAAAAAAATGTAAGTTACTTTCAACAGAAGGGTAATCCAAACATATTAAATTATCCTATGTAAGCGTGTTTGGACATATTTCACATCTCTTTATAACTATCATGATTACACTATATCATTAATTAACTATGTGGTGAGTTTTATTATCTGAATGTAAAATAGGTTTGACTTTTAATGATATAAAAAAAACAAAAAAAAACGATACTTGTATACTAAATGCATACAACAAAAGTCCATGCTTCTCCAAAATTATAACATTATTTTTGTGTTAAATGTCTCTATGATATTATTTATTAGTGTTGAAGAGAAATAAACATAATATTTTACACATGTATTATTACTCTAAAATTTCACTAAAAAGAAAGGGTGAACTTTTCAATTAAAATCTTCCATACTACAAAAGTCCATGCAAGTATTTGTTTTCTTAAATTGTGAATCGCTATTAAAATTATGTGGTTGTTTGGTACCTATAATTTCATAGAGTTTTGGTATTTTTTTTATTTAGTCACTGGAATTTTTCCTTATTATTTAAATAAAATGGCAATATACATTTTTTTTTGGTTCATTACCCTTATTTAAATATAATATAATATAATGCGTGAGTTATTTTAGTTAATTATATAAAATAAATATTTATTTTATTTATTGTATTAACTAAAATATTAGTTATACCTGGATCTTGAAAGCTAAATTGAAGCAAATTGTTAAAATGAGTGAGTTATTGAAAATTTTCTAATATCAGATTTAGTTTTGATGAAAAAAATTTGAGACATAAATGTATCACAACCGAAATCTTATCTTTTGGTTGAAACTATGGTAAATTAATACAAAACATTAACGGTCTAAAATTTCACATAAATATTGGATAACGAATTTCACATCGCAGTTGGATCCCATTTGCATCGTCTTCTGGCTTGATCGGGTGCAAAAACGCAGCGTTTTTATTCTCTTGCGTCAACAATGGAGCTTAAGGATTTCACCAAACTAAACCACTCGCAAAAATCCGCTTTCGCTGTTGTTTTCGTCATTCTCTTGCCACCTTTCTTTCCCCATCTTTTCCAACCTCTGGGTCGTGCTTCGCCTTCTATGTTCTCTGTAAGTCCCATTTTTCAACTTCTTTTGTTTCTTTCCTTACTTTATCGCAATAATTGTGACTTTTCTATCAGAATTTGGAAAGAAAGAAAGAAATATTTTAGAATCGATGAATTTCCATTGCAGGAGTGGAATGCTCCGAGGCCTATGCACGTGGCTTTGCTAGAGAGTGCTCTGCAACGCCAAACGGTGAGTGAAGACTACACGTTAATCATTAATCATAATTATACTTACATGTTAAAAAATTAGGTTGATTTTTTATTGACATGCTTTTTGTGTGTCTTGTTGTTTCAAGATTACTTATGGTTTGTTTGTTTTCAGTCTGTTGAACTACAAACTAGTCTTTGGTCTCCCTTGGCCTTCCAAGGATGGAAACCTTGTACTGAGCGTCCAAAACCACCTCGTGAGTTCAAATTGTATATTGAATTTCTTTTTCCTTTTATAAATTGGACGTTTATTTCTCTTGAAAATGAGAGCTGTGTTGTCTTTCAGTAGTGTCTGGTATTTTACATGTTTCCTTATAATTATGATTTCTTGCAGCACTGCCTGAAAAGTCGTGGGGTTATATCCAGGTTTTCCTTGATGGCGGGTTGAACCAGCAGAAGATGGGGGTATGTGAATGAGATTGTCTTTAAAGGATATAATTTGATCAAATTGATAGAGTGAAAAAATAAAAAGGTTTAATACATCAGCAGGTCTCCGAGCTTTTGGCAATTTTATTTAGGTCCCTAAACAAAAAAAAAATTGTAATTGGCTCCAAGATCTTCTATAATTTTTGTATTTCGGGAGTTACTTTATGGCAGCTTGAAGCTGTCACATGAAAAAGAACTATTTGTGGCAGTTTTACTAACTCTAGGAACTCAATTACAATTTTTTTTTTAGTTTTTGGGATCTAATTAAGAATTTCTAAAAAGTTCAAGGACCTATTGATATATTAAACCAAATAAAAGAGATTGTGTTTTATCATGTATCTCATTGGCATTTGCCTCAAAAGTTAAAACTTAATCACTTGTCTAATGTCATTCTCCCCCTTTTCTTTTTAAAAGATATGTGATGCTGTTGCTGTTGCTAAAATTTTGAATGCGACATTGGTGATCCCACATTTTGAAGTGAACCCTGTCTGGCAAGATTCAAGGTATATCTAGAGTCTGCTATTCAACCTTTATATGCTTAATTTTCAAAATGGAAAGTTTCCATTTATGTGAAATTGTTGTGTTTCGGCAGTTCATTTGCAGATATATTTGATGTTGATCACTTTATTGATGTTCTCCATGATGAAGTCTCTATCGTGAAAGAGCTTCCTAGTGACTACTCTTGGAGCACAAGAGAATACTATGGCACAGGCATAAGAGCTACTAGAATTAAAACTGCGCCTGTTCAAGCTACTGCTGATTGGTATATAGAAAATGTTTTGCCCATACTTCAGAGGTATATACATAGCTTAGCCTCAGATAATGATGTGTTCCTTCTTCCCCCATCCTCCCCTATTGAACTCATGTTTTACCACTATGTTCATTGCTTTACTTGGTTAGTTATGTTGAATTTTCTGTCATTATGACTTAAAAGCTTTTGACTAGTGATGAGAGGGATTTTTAAAATACGATTTATAAGTGTTATTCCTCTGTGATAAGAATCAATAGTGTCCAAGAAAGTGTGTTAAAATCAGGGAAAAAAGGAAAGAAAATGTTCAGAGAGTCTGGAGCATTTGAGAGAATTATATCGCTGGAAAGTTGAAACGGCTGAATGAATGGACTAGTTTTGCAATACAGACTAGATATACTATATTTATAGGTTAAGAACTAGAGAGGGAGCTGACTGTGTTACTATACTACCTAACAGGTGTAGAAATAATCTAGCTGAGTTCTGCAAAAAGGTGATGGTGGATACTTGAATTGAAAAAGACTGAGAGGTGAAGCCACGGATTGGAATCAAGTTCAAGAAAATGTTCTGATCCATGATCCAAATCACAATAGTTTGAGAAAATGTGAGAAAATGAGGGAAAAAGAAAATGTTCAGTGTAGGGAATTTGAGAGAATTTTGTCGCTGGAAATGATTGAATACATTACTATTAACTAGTTTTACAAGGAGACCAAAGATACATTAGTAGTCTGAGAATTACTGAGGGAACTGTGTAACTACCTACCAGCTGTAGTAACAGCCTAGCTGACTCAGTACAAGTATGGTATAACAGACTTAAGTAGCTTCCATATGAGTAATTACTCTAATACTCTAGAAAATGATTATGCTATATAAGCTTTTTCCCTTAGAATATTAGCCTTTTTGTTGAAAAGATGTTTTAAGAACAGCAACAGGTACTGGGTGAACTTATGAAATCCATTCAAAGTCAAAGACAAGTGCCTGGCATGACATAGATTTCTATTACCAATCAAACTTATTGTTATAGGCTTCTTTTGTTTACAAAAGAAAACAAAATATTTTAATTTTACAGTAAGCAGAGAGCCAGAGACAAAATTGAGTTTTTCTGATTGAAAATTTGCATGTATATGTATTACTTTGTAACGAAGAAATTTGATTTGATGGTATATATATTTTTTTCAAGTAGATGATGAGGATTTAATTAAGCTACATGCACTTTTTTTTTGTTCCTTAAATTACGTGCCAAGTGTTTTTTATTTATTTATTTATTTTTATAATAACTGTTGTTGGAACTTGCATTCTGTTGTATTGGACTTAGTAACCAGTTACAAGTAGCATTGGACCTTTGTATTCTGGGAAATGCTGTCTTTGTATTTTTTTTATATAAATATTACACTGTAATTAATTATCTGATCTATAATTCTATATGTAATTCTGAGTATGCCGAGGGCAATTCACTTATACAATTTCACAAATCCCCCAAGTCTCTTTAAATTTTCACGAGCACAAAATTATATAGGCATCAATTTGTAACATAAGCCACGTAATGTCTTCCTTTAGATATACATTATTTACATATATATCTATTTTCAAATGTTGTAGATTTTCTCGTTGATACAGTTATGGGATTGCTGCTATTGCACCATTCTCTCATCGCTTGACATTCAACAACTTGCCATCAAACATCCAGCGTCTCCGTTGTAAGGTCAACTTCGAAGCACTGATCTTTGTTCCACATATCAAGAAATTAGGAGAGACCATTGTTCACCGTCTTCGCGACACTTCTAGCATCAACCAAGCAGAAGGGAATGACCATCTGCTGGTGGAAACTGATAAGTTTGGAAAGCAGCAAGCTGGGAAGTTTGTTGTGTTGCATCTGCGATTTGACAAAGTAAAGTTTTCATTTTGGTTTGAGTGATTTACTAAGATTTGAAGCTTATGCATGTAGCCTCATGAAATTCTAGGCAGGTCTTGTGAGAAATTTAGGAGGTTTGGTTCTGGGACGGTTGTTATTTTGTTTCTGTTTTTGTTTCCATCTTTGTTTCAGGGTTTCTGGAATCCGGTTGTTATTTTGTTCTTTTTCTTTTCCATCTTTGTTTCTGCAAATTCAGAGTATTATCCTAGAGTTATTTAGAGCTTATCTCCAGTATCTATTATTATTAATTTATTATCATTACGTATCTCAATCCTTAACATTATGATTCCGAATTTCTTATGCAGGATATGGCTGCTCATTCAGCCTGTGATTTTGGTGGGGGTAAAGCTGAAAGACTTGCTCTGGCGAAATACCGCCAAGTGCTTTGGCAGGGTAGGGTATTGAACTCTCAATTCACTGATGAAGAGTTGAGAAATCAGGGGCGTTGCCCACTGACACCCGAAGAGATTGGATTGCTGCTGGCAGCTTTGGGTTTCAACAATAAAACACGGCTTTATCTTGCCTCTCACAAGGTTCATTAACATCTTATGGCTGGATGGCTTGTGATTATATAACAGCATAGATTTCATCCCTAATGAAATCTATGCTGTTTTGTAATGATTAACAATCTACACCTTTTGACACAATGACGCCTTTATGGATATGCACTTTGTGCTTTAACTTGTGAGACTTGGTCTGAATTGATTGTGATGATTTTAGGTTTATGGTGGAGAAGCTAGGTTAGCAACTTTAAGCAAGTTATTTCCTCTTATGGAAGATAAGAAGAGCCTAGTCTCCAAAGAGGAACTGGCCTATGTTAAAGGAAAGGCATCCCTGCTGGCTGCTGTTGATTATTACGTGAGCATGCACAGTGACATCTTCATTTCTGCTTCTCCTGGCAATATGCACAATGCTCTTGTAAGAACCATTGTTAAACATTCTATTTCAAACTGTACAGTCTAAATAATTATGGTACATAACAACTTGTATATTTGTATTGTATTGGTGCAAGAGTTGAAGTAAATTCCCAAATTTATCATTTAAACCAAACATCTTTTGCTCCTTTAGGTGGCGAATCGTGCTTATATGAATCTGAAGACTATCAGACCAAACATGGCGCTGTTGGGCCAGCTATTTCAGAATAAAAGCATGGGATGGTCAGAATTTCAGCGTGCAGTTCTTGATGGACATAAGAACAGACAAGGGCAGATAAGATTAAGGAAGGAAAAGCAATCAATTTATACGTATCCTGCTCCTGATTGCATGTGTAGAGCTTAATGGAAAACAAGTTTTGACAGTTATAAATTGATCTTTAGCTTAATTACGTTTTTGGCTTAATTAGTTTCTCCAATTTTCTCTCTCTCTCTCTCTCTCCCAAGTTCTAATTGCAGTGATGTTCCAGTAGTTTTCGAATTCGTGCAATTAAGATGCTGATACGGTACTCTTTTTATGACCTGACACAATATTCAGCCCAAAGTGTCACTTAGTGCCTGTTTTGTGAGTTTTAGAAAATACAATAACAACGCTTATCTCACTTGGAAATTTTTGGAAATAATTTCTTATTAGTAAAAGTTCTCTCTGAAATGTATTCAGTTTTTTTTTTTTTCAAATCTGATTAAACTTGTGCCCAAAAATAAGTTAAACTAAACCCAATAAAATATTTTGTTACATAAATAATGTGCATTAGCAACTAATGTTTACTTGAGCTTCTCAAGTTGATTTGTAAAGTGAAGCAATTTGAAAATACCACTGATTTTTATAGAAGTTGCTTAGATAAGCAACTATCACACTCAGGGTACTTGACTATTAAAAAAAAATAGTTAAAATGAGGGTTATTATGTGAGTAGAGAGATAAAATAGGTTTTTATTAAAAATAAGTTATGAACTTAAGCTGTGGGCGTGGATATTAGTGAGTATTTTAAATCTTATATGATATTAAGGAACCCACTAAAAGATTTAATAATCTAAATTGAGTAATTGCATTGAAGATGTTCTAAGAAACTTAATTGCATCAATTTAAAAATTTGATAATTTAGTTGATAATTAACTAAATATTATATATATATATATATGTATATTCTTTTTAAAAAAAAATGAAATCTCAAATATTATACACGGGCTGAATTATTAATTTAATTTTGAAGTGCATGGTGATATTGATTCCCTAAAATTTAAGAATAATTACATATTTACTTCAAAGAATTCCCTATTTCTATTAGTTACTAATAAACGTTTCTGCAAAATATAATGAATCAGATGGTAAACGCAAGAAACCCCCCTCTCAATTCATCTCACAGCATTATGGACCAAAAAGGAAAAAGGCCGATTACCTAAAAAGGAAACCATATACTGTGACTCTGTCGGGTTCTTTTCAATAGGCGTAAGAAAAGATTGATTACCATGTACGAATGGTTAACACTCAGGTTTGGTGAATGCTTATACCAACTTAACTATGAAACATTATGTTGACATGGTTTGAATTTGCAACATCTCAAAGTCTCTTTCCATTATTCTTTTGTGTCTATATCACATTTCTAACCATCAACAATGCTGGCTTAAGGACCATGGCTCAAGGCAGGAACCCCCTGAGCTTATGCTCCAAAAGCAAACACACTTGACTGACTGAAGATGCAACAATAAAAAAGAAATCATGGAATCAGAAGCCTTTCTCTTTCTGATTTATCCTACCAATGTTGATATTTGAGAGTAAAATTTATGTTTTTGATGCTCCTGGTTCTTTGGAAAGAGTTTTGATGACTCAAGTACAAATAGAAACCCAAAATGATTTGCTTCTAATTCAGAGATTCTGATTAGGGTACAAATCCCACAATTGTGTAATGCATAGAAATAGATCCTCTCATGTTAAATTTTACCATGATAAGGTCATATTTAAATCTTGTCTTTTATTGATAGACAATAATTAGTACGGCATACCTAATATTTAAAATAGGATAGAGATTGACATAAGATTTGGACATGATTTGTAATATAAATCCATTCCTACTAATGTACATATGGATGATACAATGCCCAGCTTAAAAAAAGACAGCTAGATCATTTGTGTAACTTCAACAAAAAAACATCTAATCTACTCTATTTAAACATCAACATATACTCTGTCATCCACCTAATCCATATGTTTAGCTGTTGGAAATGAAGACATCTCACCATCCTTCTTATCCTTGTTAATAGGAGGTTCACTCCCATTCTGATGGACTGCAACTTCTTGTGATTCTGCAGGAATAGATTGAATCAATTCTTCATCAATTGCAAGAGTTCTCTTTGAGCCAAGTAGTGCAGCATCAAGAACAATATTCTCTTCCAACGAACGACTAACTGATGATGATGACATTGCAGAATTCTCTTCATCTTGTTTTGATGGCGAAGTAGTCTCGCCAGAACCAAACTCATTGGATGTTAACAAAATTTTGGATGTTGGTCCCTTTCCTGCACTTCCTGCCCTTTCCTTTTTGGGCTTTTTGGATTTGGAGGTCTTCTGGACTGAAATATCAAAATTCATATTCTGGATTTTGGCTTGAGATATTGACGTCGGGCTGGATTTTGCAGAAAATTTGCCACGTTCTACTTTGAAGTCAGATGCCAAGGTTTCATCGATCCAGTCATCTTTGTCCTCATTTGTAATAGTTGAAGGCTTAACTATATAAGGTGGATCTATCAGTGGAAAATTATGGTTTTTCTTTGATCTAGAACGAGTGGGAATAGTGTCATCAAATGGATAAATATCTAAATCAGAATCACTGCACATCTTCTGAACTGTGCGGATGGGTGTGGCTAGCCGAGCTCCATGATGACTGATAACTCTGAGAAGATCCAAGAGAATTGCCTCCTGTTTTATTAAATAATATTTATTAATCACCAAATCTAAATGAGCCACTTATCTATGTTATTGTCAACCCACCACGCTAGTTTGAATATAAATTAAATAATAATGATCTTCTATGAAGACCGCTTGACAGCAACAAATTGATATATTGGATAGTTGGGTCAATAGTTATAAAAAGTGAAAAGATCCACAAAGTTGAAAACAACAATGAAACAACATATATATATTTGGCCATGTACAATGAGTTGCAAAAATAGTTATAACTAAAAAGTTACCATATGCAATTAAAATACTTGAAAAATCCTTACAAGTGAGTTTCAAAACATAAAAATGGGTGAGGATATTACTTATACAATTGAGTTGAAAGAATTGAATTAGCAAATATTTATGCGCATTATTATAAATGTTTTCCTTAACATGGAGGTAATAGCAATTATTAAGCAGTCTAGTCTCACCTTTACACGGAGGTACTCTTCAGAACGTGAAGTTTTAACAAAGCAAGATACTAATATCTGTAACAGAAAAAGGCATTTATAAGATAATAGCTATTGAGAAATGAAGATGAGAAACGTCACAAACTTTTGGCAATGAATAGTAAAGCAGATAACGTTAATAGGGGCAAAAAGCAGATTTCAATACATTCCAAGATGTTAATGGAAAAAAATGCTTCAGTCCTGCCTTGGGTGAAGATAGCAAATCAAATGCCTTGAATGGCAGGGTAACAGATCTCCTTGCCTATTCATTTTTATCCTCATTTCCCAAGTACTAAATTGCTAACCCTAGGGTTGTTGCCCTATATCAGATAGTGTAAGGCAATGTTACTGTAAGCCACAAGGCAGTAAATAGGCAATGTTACTGCATACTGCATATTTGTATGAATAGACAGGAGTAAACTTTTCACATAAAGATGATAAATTATAATTATGATACATAAAACTAATGTTGTAAGCAAAAAATTTAAGCTTGCTTTCTTTATATATATTAATTTATTTTGTTGCCTAAAACAACATAAAAATTATAATAAACTTTCTTATTTTCATGAATGTATGATGATAAAATTATAGTTCTTAAATGGTAAAGAATAAAAAGGTATTCCACAAAGAATAAAAACATGCCCAGATTTTCATTCAGTTCACCAATAGAAGAAGTCTAAGAAAGGTAGATTCCAGAAATTTGAACAAGCTCAGGAAGGCAGAGAATTTCATTCAAAGCACTCTGCTACAAGAAGCTTCTCAAGGCAAGCTTTTAAAAAAAGCCTTTAAAAACAAGATTTGAAGAAAAAGGATGATAACATGATATTGGAATTTATAAGCTCATAAATACTATATAAACTAATGAACAGAAAAGGTACTCAACCATAAGAGCCTGATTTTCTGGATCAATATTCTCTAGAAAAACCCGTCTGTGCAACTTTCTCTGCTCTACTTGAGGATTTTTGGCCAAAACCTTGCGCATATCAGCTATAATACTCTGCATAAAGAAACTAGGAAGGAGATTACTTATGTTTTCAAATGATGAGATAGCCATCAAATAGTCCCTGAACAATTTTGAAAGGCAAGAATTCTCACATTAATCTTGTTAACATCCATGTGACTTATAGCAAGGTGAGTCTTGATACGCCAATGAGATTTCTTACTAAGATTCCTCACAACATTTACACTCAATTTGTGATTAGGAATATGAACTGCTTCACAATCGGAACCTCTAACTATTGTTGGTGACCACCAGCCTACATGCTAGAGAAAATATGAAATTTGATTACAACAAAAAAATTTAAAGATATATAATTGGGGAAAATATCATCTATAATGGAAACCATTCACACTGAACTAACATTATGTTTTCTGTTCTCCAAAACAACATTTTCAGTAAGTTTGATGATAGATACATACCTCAACTTTACCGTTAACCTCATATCCTTTAATTTTTGTTTGAATCCGCTCATTTACAACAAATGGCCGAGTTGCATGAATCATTACACTTGACAGGAAGTTCGTAAATATCTGAATAAATCACAAAAATGAAGTAAGAATAGCAGCAAACAAGAGCTTACCTGATTGATAATGGCTATGCCTTGAAGAGTTATTCTTATGGAATTTAAGAAACCAAATAAAAAGGACGATCCATAAAAATGTGATAATAAAGATGACTTAATCATTCATGTTGACAGCATCAAAGAACCTATACTGTACCTCACGACCAGAAAGGGAAAGCAATACTGTGCCCAAACCACCAGCAGTCAACCACTTCTGTGTGGAGAAACCCAACAACTCCATGAACAACAACACAGCAGCAACCCATATTGCAGTATATATAGCTTTCCCAGTAAAATCAATGCCCATCTGTCATTGGCAATACATTGAATAAGATTTGTGTTTACACTTCTGGAATGCCCTCAGGAATCAATAAGCTAAATTCACAATTTTGAACTCCCTCACCAAAATATCCAATGAGAAAATGAGGAATATTATCCTATAACACTACCTTATTCAACCCACATATTCAAATTTTGCTAAAATAATATTAAAGCAATCGAATTTTTTTATTTCCTTGAGGTTGACCAGTTTTTTAATCTTCATCTAGAATAACATCACATCTAAAACTCCACGTAAGTGTTATCACCTTAAAATTAATCTATGATTGCATCAAAACGTTATGTAAAAAGAAATGGAAACATGATAAGGATCTGTAACAGAAACCTACGTTTCTTCCATCACTGGAGTCATTACTCTCCATGCAAAATTTTTGTGCTTGTCGAATTAAGCTGAAAATAGGCAGCACAAGGATATTACATAACAATTTGAACAAGACAGAAGACTCCAAACACATAATAGTAAGAAATGAACAATTGAGATGATTTCTTTTAAAAAATAATAATAAATAGGAGGACTCTATTTTATCTGCATATTAATTGAATAAATCAACAAAAAGTCTCAAATAAATATATAATGGAATAAGTAAAATAAAATATAATAGAATCATCTTAGATAGCAAACTCCTCATTGTGTCTGCGCTTCAGTTTTTCTTCTTCCCATTTTTATTTTACTATTCAATTTGCATACACAATTCCACATTTTTTACTTTTAGTTCAAATAATAAGAAAACAAAAGCTTTTCTTACAGTTAAGAAGTACAATACAATAGTAACTTGGTTAGTTCACCAAACAACTGGAGGGTATAATTATTGCAGAAATCAAATCTACCTTGAAGAACAGTAAGCAAATGTAAGCACCGTTGACAAAGATCTTAGAAAACTTAGAAGCCGTTGCTTCATAGCCTGAATGGTTTCTGATGGTAGGACTAGTGGATCTAAATCCCTGAAACAGTTTATGCTAAGGTGTTCACCGATAGGTCATGACAAAAGTGGAAAAGACTTGTTGATCCAGAAAGATACCTGCAGATAAGCATTACCCCAGTCCACAACAGCAAAGGTTGAAGATAAGAAGTCAAAATATAATGTGAACTACTTTTCTTCCAACTTTTATCAGTTCTCTGAAAACATCACAAAACAGAATCAGCAATTGACACTATTCCATTGATTTAGTCATAACATGCAATAAGATAAGATGCTAACTTCTTGGAGAAACAAATTCCTGCTCAGACGCAGGAGTGGCTCAAGACCAAAAACAGCAAAGCCAATGATACCAAGGGCAGGGATCAATTGAATCACACTTGGTTTTCCTGCTATGGCATTATATGACCTACATCGATTTCAAAAAAAAAAAAATATCACCATACAGATTTTATTAAGCAATAGATAGATGAGAAAGGAAGGATATGAACAAGAACAAAATTTAGCTCTGGATGACATTATTTATGGTGACAAAACTTGGTGCAAACAACATATATCATAATACCATGCAATGGGTTTGTTTTGCGAGTTCATTTTTAATCAATAGTGTCTCAGTGAGGTTTGGTTGATTCCTTATTTATAACCACTGCTCCACCACCACCACTACCCCCAAAAGGGGAAGCACAGCTCAGCACTTCAGAATTCAGATGCCAAACACAAATATCAACAAAATACAAAAGAAATACCATGAAGAAAAAATGAGAGGAAGCAACCATGATATGTGTAGAGGGATACTAGCTAGCAAATCACATACAGTCGCTAGGAGAGGAGTTAAATTGTTGTTCAACATTTCAAAGAAAAAATTGGTGCCCAACATATTAAATAAGTCCGATAGCAGGATATACCTCTCAATCACAATTACTATCTGACTTTAAACCTATCAACACTAACATGTAAAGTAAAATAACCGCAGAAAATACATACGAAACAAACATAAATTTTTTACACATGTAGTATATTAGTCGCATGACAGAGCTATTAGAGGAGAGGAAATCCAGTCAAAAGTAAATGATGCACAACCCATACAAACTAAAAGTTTATTGCCAAGTTAGAAAATCCACCATAAGGAAAACTGAAACACAATGTATAAAACTCGAAATGCACATCAATGAATTTGTTGAAACTTCTCCCATCTACAAGGAGATAAATAGAGACAGACCTTGACAAAGAAACAGCAGCCACTTTCACAAGTGGGGCCTCACACCCTCCAGCCGGTGGCATTAAGGAACACCGACACGGCAAAGCATTACATCTCAAAGATACATGCCTAAGTGGAACATGTAATCTGGAAAGCAGAGCTGAAGTATCCTGCCTCTGTCAATTCACAAAGTTCTCCATGGATTTAGACTATAAATAAAAGGAGCACATACATCCAATACAATAGCCGTATCCGTTAATCATGAAAAATTGCAAATGAAATTGCCAGCAATAAAAAAAATTGAAAGATAAATAGCTAAGCCTAATAGTAGTAACTAACAAACATATTACATATGTAACATATCTATTCCAACAAGAAGGCCATACCAAACCACGTGGCGAAAAACTGATGGCAACAAAACATAATCGATCACCACGCACGAGCTTCTGCCAAGAGATAAGTAAAACTAAAATGAAACTCAACATTTTACAATTTACAGAGTATAATTAAGGAAATCTCTATGAAAAGCAAATCAAATTAAACAATAATATTCAATAACCACATTAAATAGTCACATACATGACAAAATTTACAGCTTCCATTATTACTGTATAACCTAACGTGGCGAGACAATCTAATAGAAGTGAAGTGAAGTCCAAGGTCATGCGATGAGCACAACATCGTATTAACAAACAGATCGAAACTTGAACTTTCTTTAACCTTTGACTATTTGACCTGCATGAGAGACAGACTTATACACAAATTACAAAGTCTCAATGCAAATAAGTACATAGTCGTTTCAGAAGGAAAAACAACAAAAATGCTACAAGTTTTATCGCTCAGCATCGGAACTAAGCTCAGAAATTTCCACTTCTGTGAAACCAAAAAAGGAACTGAGAGAGAGAAAAGGGAGAGTACCCGCGTGATACGCTGATGTCTGATGCTGATAATATTCCAAAGACGTGGGAGGAAACAAAAGGAAAAAATCCTCGCCCTCGGGAACAGAGCAATCGCAAATAGTTAGAAACTCACGTTTGTATTCTTCCACTGCGAAACGGAATAGTCGGTACTCGGCACGCGAATCTTCCTTGCACAATGATAGTTTAGCGATAAAATTCTCTTTTTCTAAAAAAAAAAAAATAAACAAAAAATCAGTGACATGGCATAAAATGGAATCACGAATTATTCCCCCACAGTTTTCTCACTAAATAGTTGTAGTAGTATTTAAATAAAAATTTGCTTTCTCTTCTATATTTCTGTTACATGTAGTGACTTTTCTATGTATATTTATTTATAGTTTTTAAAATTATCATATTTAATATTATATATATATATATATACTAATATATACTATATATAAAGGGAATATCACTTTCAATAACTATTTTTAGTTTTCATTTTTACATGAACTATTTTATCTTTTACTTATTTTTTATAATTTTTTAAGATTATTTTTTTATGAGTAATTTCTCATTCTTTTCTTTTTTTTTCTATTTTATTCTGAAATTACTATAATTATTTATAAAAATAATTATTTTTTTAATATAATCCAGGTATAGAGTTTCTTTTTTTTTTTTGCTAGTATATATAATTTTAATATTATTTAGAGTGTGTTTGAGAAAGTTATAAAAATTAGTAATAATCGATTATGTTAATAATTGATTATGATTAAAAAAATTGTTTGAATATATTTGTTAATAAGGATTTTAAAATGTTTAATTTTGTTAGGATAAAAAAACGTAATTTTTATATAATAAATTAACTTAAAAGAAAAACTGTTGAGAAATAGTCATAAATTTCAAATTATTAACTTCATAAAAATAAGTTACTTATTTTTTCTTAAAATAATAATTTATTTTTGATGAAAAAAATTATTTATAAATTTAAGTTATTGTCTTAAATGAATAGTTTTTTTTTTCAAACAACTTTTATCCTAAAAATCAATTGAAATGAGATGATATGATTTCTCCGAACACCTGTTAGTGTAAAAAAAAATCTTAATTTATTAAAAATCACTTTAAACGCGATTTTTAAAATAATTACTGCAAAAGTTAATAGTTTTACTGTAAAAAAGATAATATCATATTATAACATTCTAATTAATTAAATAGTATTGTCAATCTATATTTATTTAGAGTGTTTTTCTTTAACAAAATCTATTATCTGAGATTGAATTGTGAGAGTGAGATAGTTTTCAGAGAAGACAAAACAAGATTTAGTTGAGAATTATAAAATATTATCATTAACTCGGAAAGAACTTGATTTTTATTATAAATTATAAATATAAATGAAAGTAGATAAAAATAATGTAACTTAAAACAATATGAGATTTCATTGAATAGGTAAGTAAATCTTTAAAATGATTTAACTTCAAAAGTATTAATACCTTTATTATATTAAGACGAAGTGTGTTTTTTTTTTCTTCATGAGAATTGGAACATATGGTAATTATCTTTTCCTTTTAGTTCATTGTTATATTGTCACCACATCTATCTTACTAACTCTATTATTGTTATATATGGTATGTTGCTTTTGATGGATTGTCCTGTTCATGTATTTTGGAACATTTTCTATTCTACGGTGATAGATAGTTAAAATGATTCAGTTGTATCAAATATAATTAAATAATGGAGTTGATAAGTTAAATTCATTTGATTTTGGTTAGTGTACATACATTCTGGTAGGTAATTTGGTTTTTTTATTTTAAATGTAGAAATTATATATATTTGATTATTTGATTGAATGGGAATGTATCAAATATCATGAAATCATATATATTTGATTATTTGATCGAATAGAAATGTATCAAATACTCGATTCAAAAGTTTAAATCACTCATTTAACCGTGAATTGGTAAGTTAACTTATTTTAATGAATTAATAGGTTAAAAGTAGTGAGTTGACAAGTTGATTCACCTTAAATTCATTTAATTTTTAATAAATTAAATAAAATATCTTAATATATGTTATCAATTTAATTTATAATATATTTTTCTTCGTTGTTGGAGTATTCATCGCTGATAGGCGTGATTAATCTCCTCGCTACGTTGGAAACACCTCGAAAGATGAGATAGTTGGCTCCAAGATTTAACGCAGCTGCATACACAAGACAAGATTCGAACTCCTGACCTTGCTTAAGCGTGGATCAATCTCTACCGCTGAACCACACGCTTGGAGTTATTATTTGTAATATTAGCCAGAGGGATTATATATTTTTATGGAAAGAGACAAAGTAATATATATTTTAATTAAAAAATATTACACATGAAAATATATTAATAAAAAATATGTGATCAAAATAATATATTTTTATCTTATATAAAATAAAAATAATTATCTAAAAATTTGTTTTAAAATTAAAATATCAATTTAACATAAATTTATTACAAATTTACCTTTCAAAAGCATTAAAAAAAATGAATTAACAAATTAGCCTACCAAAGAATTTGATCCACCTAATCATTCCTAATCAAATTTGAATCTACTATTGATTAAAAAAATATTTTGTGAAGTCTGTTATGTTTGTTAGTATTATCAGTTTAAGTGGTTTAATTAATTTAACCTTGCGGTCATGATTTATGTTTTTGAGTTGTCAAACAATTAATGTGAAACTATATATTCACAATTCTAAATTAATTTGCAAGTTTGTGATTAAAAACATATCTTTCATTACTTTGTCTTCTACAACTTATTAAAATAGGCGTAAAAATTATTATTTTACTTGGTAACAATAAATGATTCTAATTCATATTAAGTATTTTTATATATTTTATTAACGAAGTTGAGGTACTTCGTACCTTTATATTTATTTAAAAGTTTTTAATGTTTATTAAATTAATTAGTATTGTATTTAGTTTTCAAATCATAAAATCTTAAGTTTAGTTAATTTTCAATATTATTATTTATTATTTAAAAATTTAAAAATAAAATAGTTTAAAAATTATGTAAACAAAAATAAAATATCTTCTTTATAACAAGTATAAATATTCCTATTATATTTCATGATTTTTACTCTCTTTCATTTTAGTCTTTCTTGCACAGTTTTAAAACTTGATTGGACTTGCAAGTTAAATTGGTTCGATCGAGATTCGAAGGTATGACTAGGTGAGCTTCTATTTAGATTGAATATGCATCTAAATCGACACTGATGTCATAAAATTGGTAAAAACAAAAAATAACTTAATATCTAACCCAACTTGATTGTAATTGTGACCGGTGCGTCATGTAAAGTTATGTATGTATTTGACAAAATGATATATATATAAGAGAGAGAGAGAAAGAAAGAAAGAAAGAGAGAGAGAGATAAATATAAATTTAATATTAAATTATAAATTATTTATATCATTCAACTAGTTACCACTTAATTGTCTAAGTGAATGTGAATATTTAACATCTTAATTACAACTAAATTAACATGTTTTTTTTAATATAATTGACAATAATTGATATAGAATGTTTTTAATTTAAAGTTATATATTTAATTATATATTAATTTATGTAATTTAATTGGTTTATAATTTAGTTGATTTGGGCAATTCTTTTTTGGCATGAAAATATAGTATTGATTACAATTCTTTTAGAACTTTTCTAAGACATGGTATAAATTTTATTAAAATTTATAAATATAATATATATATAACATAAATATTTTTAAAAAAATAATAAAAATCGAATTATATAATTCAATTAATGGCCTATTAATTTGACTCTTATCCCAGTATCTTGCCGATTTCATCATTGTTGTAATTTTTAAAACATTACTTTCTAGTTAAATGTACATGCAGATTGATGCATATATGCCATTGCATGATTTTTTTAGTTTGATGCGTGGTTCTGTTATGTTCAATTTTGTTTTTATCGATAGATGTATTGATGAGGGAACCTTTTATTCACTAGCTTGACAGAAAATTTTGTAACATGCAATTCTCATTATGGTTACTTCCTTACTATTGTTTTTATTTTGTACAAATTTATTTCGTTTTATTGCCCGTAATTAGGACAATAAATTTTGTTGCAAATAAACACTAGCTAGGTTATACTTTATTCGTTAGCCTGTAAATAGTGAACTCCCCATATACATACAATTCCATTCTACAAAGTACAAACAATATTTCAGTTCCCTTATTTATTTATTTATTTTGATCTATCAGTTCCCTTATTTCAAGTTAAGTACATAGACGGTTTGTTATGGTCAACACATAAGCCGTAGTTTTTCTTATTATTATACATATCCAAAGCATTTTATATTTTTATTTAAATATATAACAAAATATTATATAATTTCTAAAAATTTTAAAATTTATCTACATTAAAAAATTTTAATTCAATAATTAAATCATTAAAATTTAATATAAAATATAATTTATTGAATAATGTCTATCAAAACTTATTTTTAGAATAAGCGAATCTTCCCAAATATATATACATACATACATGTATATACATACATATATACATATATATATAAG